AGAGAGTGAGAGTCAGAGAGGAAAATTAAGAGAGAGTGAAAGTACGTGCTGTCTAAAGGTTAGGAAAAGATTTGGGAATTATTTTAGTACACAAATATACTTCTTTTTATCAAATTTTTTTATAAATATTTTCTATATATTTGGAGCTTTATATTATTGGTTTCATTATAATGTTTAGTTTGGGTATGGAGTAAATATAGAGTTTTCATAATATATGACTGTAGCAATTTAAAGATACATTATTAAACAATTTTAACTGATTTATATTTATTTAATGATTATTTTGAGAATTTTAAATTAAAATTTTAGTTAAAAAATTTGTTATTCAAAGACATATAGTATGTTTTTACTAATTAAATTTAAGTTAAATAATGTATTTGAGTTATTTAATGTATTATTGAGATTTTAATCCATTTGAATGTTAAATAGGTTAAAGATATATTTTTGAAAGCTTGAAAAATTGTAAATTGACAATTTTAATATAAAATTTTTATATTTTAGGAAATAAATATATATTTATTTAAGATATTAAATTTAAATAGTCTTATATGTAAATTATATTTTCAAAATAATATTTAATAAATAGCTAGATCTGGGAGAGTTAATATATTTTTGTAATTTTAGCTTATAGGGTAGCCTTAGAATTTTAGAATAGTTTTGTTATATTAATAAATACTTATGTGCTATTTTGCATACTCTTGAAAATTTTAGAGTAATCTTTGTATGAATATTTGTAAGCTAAAAAGTATCAGGTAATTCTAAAAATTCTTTCATGTACATGTGAATTGTGTATGATTATATTGTGAATTTACTAATTTATTATACCATATTGAAATATATGTATGTATTATGACTTTTCAAATAAATGTTTTATTTTGTTAAGATTTATTGCTATTAATTATAATAAATATTTAAATATATTGAGTTATTGATACATAAATTTTATTGCTATCTTACTTTAATAATATATTTAAGGACGAATTGCTGATGTAATATTATTTAGACATGACACATGCATTATTGGGCTAAGGAGAGAAGGAGATTTGCATGGATATAAATTACCATGTGGTATGCCATCACTTGGTGCACAGTTGATGGCACTTGTCAAGGCCCTTTCTTCCATGTTTTCCTTTGGTTAGGAATTCATTGGAGTTGTGAGACATGTGACACCTCCTTATTTTATTTGCAAAAGAGGAGAGTCATAGTCCGAGCTTGAGCTCTATATCTTTGGCCAGATATATCTTTAGTACTGGTGAACTTGGAATAATTCAGTCAAATAGATTAGTTCCTATTAGACTATGTGTTAGCTTATGGTTCCAGTCAGTGGTATAAGGGTGGACGATGATATAAGGGAGGTTGTATATTGTATTATTTCTGGATATATTGAAAAAATAATATTGGTATATTGTTGAATCAAAAATGAAATTGAGTTGAATGTATAAAATTTGTGAATTTCATATACAAATATATGTACACATATAGACGGATTTTTGTTTATCATATATGGTTTGCTTGTATAGGTTAGAATTTCAGCAGTTACTAAGACGTTTGATCTCATCCCTTATATTAATATTTTCAAGTGAAGGATCTAGTAGAAATCAAGGAAAGGCACCGATGGAGTAAGCCATGAAGGCTTCTGTACTCCTCAAGCACTTGCTATGTTATATTTTTAATTGCCATGACTATAAGACTTTGATGGTTTATTTTGTTATGTCTGAAAAATACTTTGAAATTGATCTGTTTTGAACACTAAAAATATGTATAGACTTTTAAATACATTTTATCTCGTATGTGAATATAATTATGTGAGGTGTTACATATACACTTGTTGGGAAATAACTTCTACCAAACCTGAACAGGGTCAGCTAACCTAAGGAGCAATATTAATAATACACTTTCAATATGGAACAACTGATACAACCAACAATAAGAGGGACTAATAAAAGCTACCCAATGATTGGGATACGAAGACCAATCTAACTTAATTCTACCACTGACAAGGTTCCCTCCCCTCTCACCGCAATTCACCATGATTCACAAACTTTCTAAGAACAATGTGAAATTTTTTATCTTCCCTTCTGAAGCTTCTACAAAAAATAATAGTTTGATGACCATCTCATAAATCTGGAACGAATTGTCCAAGAAACGCGAATGGCTCTCTCTCTCTCTCTCTCTCTCTTTTTGGTTAAAAACACTTAAATTTTCCTATTTGAAATACTGTTTGACATTAAATGTGGATACATCTCTTAACAAGAATTTAAACCTTAGTTAACCACGTTACAGGAAAATAGCCTATTTTACTAGACTTAACCTCGTTGGCACGAAAGTAGCTCTTGATTATGCTCACCCGCAACGTGTGCCAGATTCAACCACGTACTCTTTCTTAATGTACTGCATTTGATTTGAAGCCCACCCTTGACTCTTCCAAGTGAGTTCTTACTTGCCCTTCCGATCAGAATCATGCTGTTAAGAAATGCTAATACAATTTAAAATTTGTGAATACATGGGATACTTAATGTTATTAGAAAAAATTACTGATAAACCTCTTATTGCAGTTTGCAAAATGTATTATTAAAAAATACTTAAAATTTGTTATTCAAAAGTCTTAAGAAATTAACAATCCAAATAAAATTGGGCCCAATCTGGTAATGGTCGGCCTCATACGAGATATGTTTGACTGTTGACTTTGCTTTGACCAACGGAAAGGAATCTGAAAATATCTTGACAATAAAAAATTATTAGTTTGACCAAGTTCTAAAAATGCGACAATTTTTCGTGGACTTTGAACTAACAAAAAATAAAAAGAAAGTATTCCATTATTTCTTCGACACAAAAGGGGAAAAAAAGGAAAGTCTTCAATTCAGCCACCTTTAGGGGCAGGAAAAAGAAAATCCAGCCATCTCCAATTCAACCACGTGGGTGCGCTTAATTTTTTTTAACTTTAAATTATTTGACCCTGGGTACTCATATATGTAATGACTTAGATTTGGATATGCAGCACTACCTCCTGTCCTAATTATAAGAGCCAGTTAATTAATTTGAGGAGATTAAAAAAGTAAGTTGAGTTAGTTATTTGTCCTAAATAGGTGTTGTCTTTTCTAAAATATCCTTGCTAATCAAGTGTATTGACTAGAATTATCATTATTAGAAGGGTTACCTTGGAAAAAAAATGTATAAATATGAAAGACAAAACAGATTAGGGTCTTATATTTAGGACCAAAATAAAAGTCAAACAGAGTCTTATATTAACGATCGGAGGTAGTATTTAACATATTTATTTCATTACAATTTATTTTTTTTAAAATAAAAGCACAGGATACCCTTTCATGTTTTTACGCCCCGTAATTTAGACCCATCTTCAAGTAAAAGATTTATCGAGATTTAGACAAATATTCGGATCGAATTTGGTGGGATGAAAATGATAAATTTTATTATCCAATATTTAATGTAACTATATTTTTAAGCTTAAAACTCCAGAAAGTTAGTATAATCTTTTTCACTAGTTAAGCTAAGTATACGGATTCCCTCCCCCCCCTCCCCCAAAAGGATAGAGACTTAATGTAACTATATTGAAGTCCCCATCTTCTGTTTGATTGTAACATTTTTTCTATCACAACAGATATATTTTAAATAACAACATTCCATTTCATCGTCATCTTTTTAGTTATGTGTTTATGAGATGTTTGTGTTGCCCCCTAAAAGGATGGCAATTTGATAAGAAAAGGTGGAAAAAAGTGAGTTCATAAATCATAATACTCTGTGCAATTTCAACAAAACATTCGAGTAATTTCAAATAAGGGTTGTTGGCCAAAAAAAAAAATCAAATGTGGCATAGGTACAAAAGCAAAAGATCGAATAACATATTAAATTATTAATGCAGTGATGAAATTCTAATAAAAGGAAGTGAATTAAAATTTTAATAGTGTAATGCTATAGCTATTTTTGGAAAGCCAGAGCACAACAAAAAAATAATAAAAAACATAACAAATATTTAAATAAATAAACCACTACTTTTTTCCTGCATGTTTTTATATTCTCATCGAAAAAACCTTAGGCCCACAAAATAAAAAGAATAAATTGAAACTCCCACAGCACCAAACAAGGGGTCACCGGGGCACCGGAAGGGTGAAAAAAAACAAAAGGAACTAATCGGTGGCTTCCGCCATTTTGTACAAGTGGGAACCAACAAACGAAAGACTATTGACTTTTGGTGTAAATAACGAACACCTTCTTCTTCGTCCACATTTAAAGCATTTATTTTCTTTCTGAGTTCCTTCTTCCGGCGAACTTCTCAATTTTCCCTTCATTTCGCCTACCTTCCTTGCTCCTTCTGTGTCGACAAGAGAAACAATTCGATTGCAGAGTCTCTGTACTAAAAGTTGCCATTTTTCTTCTTGAAACCCAGATTTTGCTGGTATCAATTTGGCCCCCCGCCGTTTTTCATTTATCTATTTTCTGCGTTTCATGCGTCGTCACTCACTTATGGGTTCTAACTTTTCAGTAACGCATAAGCATATTCTGAGCTTTCTGTGTGATTAACGCCTCTAATTTGAATTCCCCCGATAAAATGTACTGTTTAGTATTGTAAAGAAATATTTATTCCTAGAGCATGGTTATGTGTGTTGTTCCGTTGGAGTTCATTTTGCATTGATCTTCTTCTTCTTGTTTTTCCCCAATTTTTTCTTGCCAGAGAGTTATGAAGCAACTGTTCTTTGACTGATGGGAATGGTACCCGTTTGTTTTAAATTTTGATTCATCATAGATAATCTTTATGCACGTAAAATTGTATATCTCTTCCTTGAAAATAGGCTAGTCTGTGATGGGGCTGAGCGTAATTTATGTCTTGTCATGGAAATAGAACGCATTTTAGGACAACTTTTTTCATTATTATACGCATTTCCTACACAATTACATGCATATGTGAAGAGACAGAATCTTAGACTCATAAACTCTAATAAGACAAGTTTACTTTGGCAATGTCGGGGTTTTAAAAATCCTGAAAAAGAAAGACTTTGAAAAAAAAAATTAAAAATCTGATCTTTTGCGCATAGGCAGAGTTTTCTGTTGGCGATTTATCCCAAAAAGTAAATGCCTCGTTAGCCCATCTCTATAATAAATTCTATTACCTCTTTCCTTGACGCTAGTTTGGGCTTTTGAACGCTCAAGGTTATATGGTGTTGTCGTAGGGCCTAATTTCCTTCCTTAACGTTGGATCTATGTTTCTTTCTGAGTCCCCATCGCAAGTTAAGGTTTTAAAATTTACAAGTGAAGGGCCAGAGGATATGGCAAAAGAGTATATCTTAGTTTTCGAATGTGCTTACTGTTTGACATAGTTTCAGTTTTTGAACTTGATTCTTCTTTCGTCTAACCAAGTTTCAGTTTTTGAACTTGATTCTTCTTTTGTTTAACCAGACTATCAAAAGGATATCAGCTTGTGTATGAATAGAAAATCCACCATTTTAGCCATCATGCTATAAGTGTTTGCAGTCACTTCTATCTACTTATCCTTCGTCATTCGTGTTAGCATGCAATAACAATCAAAATGAGAAGCATTTCTCTCCCTCTTATAAATTTGTGCTTCAAGGAGATCAAGGGTTCTGACCTGTAAATATGGGACTGATTCCTTTTCTTTTCTTTTCTTTTTTGGATAACAAATATGTGACTGATTCTTATGATACTACTTGACATAATTAAAAGTTTTGATACTGAGTCACATTCTCCCCTTCAATAAAGAGGATCATGGGATGCTTTGGCTGCTGCGAAGACAGTGAAGTACATACACATGCTGACAACAAAACCTTCATGCAAAACAATTCTGCAGGTAATTCACCATCACCAAGTTTTTCTTTCTATTAGATTTAGTAACGCATTTTACATGTATCTCATTATTTTCTGTCCTGTGCTCAAAATCTCAATTCCAAGTTCTGTTTTTATTTTCATTTTGATTCCTTTTTTTTTTTTTCCTGTTTCTTGCGGCTTTAATTACACTAGTTTGATGTAGGGAGAACTGGCTATACTGGAAAAGAGGCTGTTGCAAGAACCACTCCACCTACTGTACATTTTCAACCTATTGCTGTCCCTTCCCTTTCAGTTGATGAATTAAAGTCCTTGACAGATAATTTTGGCACGAAATCTTTTATCGGGGAGGGTGCGTATGGCAAAGTATATCATGCCATATTGAGAAATGGCCGTGCTGTGGCTATAAAAAAGTTGGATTCTAGTAAGCAACCAGAGCAAGAGTTTCTTGCACAGGTTCGGTTCAAATGCATAATGTTAAATGCATCACACTCTGTAGTGGCACAATTTTTATTCGGTTCTCTTGATTTGTTACTTCACTTGTTTAGGTCTCCACTGTCTCAAGGTTAAGGCATGAAAATGTTATTGAACTTGTTGGTTATTGTGTTGAGGGTTCTTTTCGTGCCCTAGCCTATGAGTATGCTCCTAAAGGATCACTTCATGACATCCTACATGGTTAGTATGTGCCATATTACTGCTCAATCTATGCTTCATGCAAATGCATTTGTACTTTCTATTTCAACGTTTATATCTGCAGATTTTATAACAAGCGTTGAAATTTGTGCATTGAGAACAATGTTAGCCATGAAAATGAAACTGGAAGGTTTTAAAATCATAATGTGTGTGCAGATTTTACTTTGTGTATTCTATTCTAGTGACTATTACAGATTTAATATCTCTGTTGCAACATATCATTGACTAGGACGCAAAGGTGATAGGGGCGCACATCCTGGTCCAGTTCTATCTTGGGCACAGAGAGTTAAAATTGCTGTTGGAGTAGCTAAAGGATTAGAATATCTACATGAAAAAGCAGAAACTCGTATCGTCCATCGCCACATCAAGTCTAGCAATATACTGCTTTTTGATGATGATGTTTCAAAGATTGCTGATTTTGATTTGTCAAATCAATCCCCTGATGAAGTAGCTCGTGTCCATTCTACTCGTGTTCTTGGAACTTTTGGTTATCATGCTCCAGAGTATGTTATTTGTGGTCCTGGATGTAAATAATAGTAATAGTCTTAGAAGAACATTAAATAACTAGCATTCCATGATAAACAAGGTTTTAAGTGTAAACTTGTTGCAAGATATTGATTCATTGGAATTGGAGAGATTTGTTTTGAGCAGTGAACTTCAAATTACGGGTTGCGATCTCTTTCCATTTTCCAGCATTGGCTTTGACAACTTACAGGGTTTGATTTTATCGATTACAGATTTGCAATGACGGGAGATGTCACTGTAAAGAGTGACGTTTACAGTTTTGGAGTTATATTGTTGGAACTGTTAACCGGGCGCAAGCCTGTTGATCATACACTGCCACGAGGGCAACAAAGCCTAGTGACTTGGGTATTAATTCTTACTTATTTCATTTCTGTCAAGTTATTTATTTTGACAATTCAACTTTTAAAGTTTGCAAAAGCTGATTCTTGTTCGTTGGATTTCTTTAGGCAACACCAAAACTGAGTGAAGATAAGGTAAAGCAGTGTGTGGATGCCAGATTACAGGATGATTACCCTCCCAAAGCAGTTGCCAAGGTAATCAGACCAAAATTCTTTTCATAAAAAGCCATCTCAATTTGAAAGCTTAAGTTGAAGAAGTCCTTGACATTGAACCAGATTTTCTTTAATGAGCCAATCTCTTGATTAAAACCTGTCAACAATATAATTTTTGCGTGATGTAAATTCTAGATGACATCATAATTAACTCTTTTGTTTTGGGGTATAGATGGCTGCTGTTGCTGCATTGTGTCTGCAATATGAAGCCGGGTTAAGGCCAAACATGGGCATTGTTGTTAAAGCTTTACAACCACTGTCAAATCCTCGTCCTGTTCAGCCAAGAGAAAAGTATTGAATCTCTAGTTTCCCGAATCCGCCATTAATACGTTGGCCCAAAAAAACATCTGTCATCAATAGTCCAAGTGTAACTTAAGCTGATAGTCTACAAGTATCTTCTGTATTGTATGTGTAATTTAATAGCTTGTTCTGTGAGATTACTTAGTTGCAACATTTTGAGACTTTGTTGTTAGGTATTTTGAGACCTTGTTCTGTCACTTTCATTAACAGATTATGGTAATGTAAGTGGCAAAATCTGTTCTAACTTTCAGTTTCTTGAGAAAAGAGTAATCGTTTGAGTTCTTTGGAAAACTTTATGCTCTTGTTCCTGTTAGATTCTCCATTTTTTTTAAAAAAAACTTTCTTTGTCAGAAAACTGTGAACTATTTTCCACAAAGACAAACAAATAATTTGACAGATTATCTGTAACTATGTTGATGAAATTCTTGTCTTGTCTTTCAAGACCAGTCACCTTTAGTTTCAAACTCTGAATCTATTCCATATTGTTATGCTTCTGATGCTAAGTAGTGATAAACTTTATGACGTAACATTATTTACAAGTTATAAACAATGCTACCTATTTTAAAACTCTGTCTATAGAAGCATGTCTAATTTATGCTTAAATTATAGTTTTTTTTATAAATTTAAATTGAAATATTTTCTACATTATATTTATTTATGTTAAAATAACAAACACACTGCTAAAGTATGGCTAACTCTGATTAAGAAAAAGAAAACTCGTAAATACAATGGAAACAATCTTTGAAAGATATAATACGACTAATACCCTCAATTATTCTTTCTTCTGAAAAACACCTTTCAAGCTATGTTTAGATATATATTCACCCGTTTAAAGAGGCGGAGTTAAGGAATTTTCAGTTAAAAAAAAAATAGAAACTCATCTAATTCTGCAACTTAATCTAAATTTACAATATTATTAATTACATACTCCTCCGGTCCTAAATATAGGACCCTTATACTAATGTGTATAAAGGTCTTATATTTAGGATTGGAGGAGTACTATACAATAGATGTTACTCTTCCGGTCTTTAATATAGAACCCAATTCTTGAGTTAGTTTTGGTTCTAAATATAAAACCCATTTATTATATTTATTAATTTTCTCTAAATTATCTCTATGGATACTTTCTCAACCACAATCAAGTAGAATAGGGAGAGGGGGTATTAAGAAAGATGATTATGGTGTTTTAGGAAAAATGTGTCACTTTTCTTATAATTAACTAACTTACCTAACTTCTTTAATCTAATCAAATTAGTTAAATGGGTCTTATATTAAGGACAGGAGGAGTATCACTCATTGGCATCGAATCTTGATAAGAAGCAAATTGAAATTGACCAAACACGCAAGCGAGCGACAATAATTAATTCAAGTAACAAAAACACAATCACAAAGGTAATATTATATGCTCATGACATATCATCAGGATTAATATTGCTCAAACATTATTCGGTTTCCTTAATGACTTTCTATCTTTATCACACAGATACAGTCTCCTGGAGAACTGAATTGTCTAATTATAACCTTCCAGATTCGATCAAAATCAAATCTTTAATTTATTCGTATATTTATTATATACTGTGTACTGTGTGTGCATTATATTCTTCTTCCACCACAACCAGCTTGTCGTTGGCAGTTGAAGAACAGAGCAGCTACAGGAGATCCGAGGTTGAAGCGCACAGAGAAATCTCGAGTGTTGAAATTCTGACGCGGCCACTCAGTAGCATCGACCATTTGTCTTCCCTTTGATTGACGAAATAACACAAACACGTAACGATGAATCCCCATCGTTGGCCCTGGACTCTCATAGCTCACTATCTCTCGCCCTGTATACAACACATATACATCTTCAAATATATCACCTTCAGCCACTATACATATATACATATATATATGTATCTTCAAATATCACCTTCATTCATAATATATACATATATGTTGTGTGTTGCAGGAATAAGGAGGAGAGAACAAAGGTAGAAAAAAAAAGGCACACACGCACACAAAACATAAATACATACCGAAGCTTGGTCCTGTAGTCGCTGGAATATCAGTTACCAACCTGTACGTATATGAAGCAGATCAACATTAAATTATAACTCAATTACACACACACACCCACACACACACACACACAGAGTAAAAACCAGGATCTATCGAACAAATCATATATAAGCCAGGGATATCTAAGCTTCTGTCTATATATTACATGATCAAGTTCACAAACTAATAGAGGGAAAACTCACCAATGCAAGTACTCTCTCATATTTGGTTCGCTTGGGCTCGGCGCATCAGGGTCCACCATAATCTGCATGCATATAAAGCAAGTCACTACACACACACACACCCACACACACACACACATGTATATCTTTTCCAAGTGACAAAATAAAGTTTAAAGAGAACGGAAATTAAAGCTAGAAGTATATAGAGATAGAGATGAGAGCGCGCGCACACACCAGAGTGAAGAAGGTCCTGAGGTCATCGCCGCCAACATCAACCCTTGGAATGCTAGAAACATGGGAGGGTTTGAGTTCAAGACCATTGAAGACTTCTCTGTGATTACTGTAAGTGACCCTCATTGAGATTGACCTCGTAAAAGGATCCAAAACATCTCCAACTACGCCTCCAACTACAAGAGGATCCGTTGATGTCATCATCACCTCCACGGAAGACTTCTCTTGTATATAGGCAGATACTTGGCCAACCCTGGCTGCCATTTATATATATATAGGCTCATTATTTGATTTCTTCCGTAGTAGTAGTGTGTCGTCCAAAGCATCGTTCGACTTTTTTGTGTCAGTTCTTTTTTTTTTCTTTTTTGGTGGCTCGTGGGGACGATCAACTTGGATTTTCACTAGTGGCCATGGTCAGCTTTTTTATCAGATCATGGAATAAGGTGATGGGGATACAGAGAAGGACCATGCTAGCTATCCCTCCTTTAATCTGTTGTTTTTATACGCTTGTTTTAGCATATATTTATACTAATTAATCATGATTTGCAAATTTATTTATACATATAATATTATACTTGTTTAGGTGTGTCTTCAGGTTAGGGATGTATCTGGTTTCTAATAAATTTTGCATATCCATCAAGAAATATTGCAGAGATCGACCCTAGCTCGATCGTGGGTCTCTGTTTGTTTGTGGGGGAATGAGATACGATCTGGTAGTGAAAGGGGGGAGGCCCGAGAATATATGAACAACCAGTGAGAACAGAAATTAAAGCAACTTGCATCGCAGCAGAACGGTTCTGATTCGAGTTTGGGGTTTCTTATGTGCCTCTCTCTAATATCTTTCAAAATGGTTTTTTCCTCTTGAACATTGGAGTCTATGTAAAATGAGTGACGTTTTGACGTTAAATTTTTCATGATTAAAAAAAAAAAAAAAACTAAAGTTGTGCAATTTTGATTTATTTTTTTGAAAAATAATTAAAAAAATTTCAAAATTGAACCATTTTATACTTATAAGACGTCAAAGTGTCGCTGGTTTATGCAAAATCTGATAACAACAAGAGATTAAAAAAAAAAACATATGAAAACTTAGAGTATTACAAAGGGCATTAGAGAAAGACACATTAGAAGTCCCAAACTTAGGTTTTTCTCATATTTTCTTTAGTTAAAAAAAAAATACTCTTCCGGTCCTTAATATAAAACTTAATTGTGGAGTTGATTCTAATTTTAAATATAAGACTTATTTCTTATATTTATCAATTTTTTTAAAATCACCTATATTGATACTCCATCAACCTATGAGAGAAAAAGAAAATATAAAGAAGATAATTAATGTATGTTTTTAAAAAAAATGTCATATTTATTATAGTTAACTAATTTTTTTAATTTTTTTAATCTAATCAAATTAGTTAAAGGGTCGGAAGAGTATTAAGTATAGGCCCTGAAAATGTCGCATTCGTTCATGAAAACAAATATGAATGGGAATCCTTTTTACTTTAGGCAACATGCATGTGCATCAAGATGCGATTGAACCCCCTGTCAAAATTCATAGAATATCTTTTTGGCTTTGCTCTGTACGTGTGGATAGTGGATACCCGCAAAGCAATTAAAAGACGAATCAATTGCTCAGTTGGGTCGTACTAAGACGGCTACCTCGTATGCATATAATTTGCCGTACATAAGTTTCTTTAATTTTTTGGTGAGGCACAGACGACCTATACCTTGAAGAAACAAAGTGATAATTTGCAAGTAAAACAATACCTGCCAGTACGTAATATATAATCTGGTGTATGTATATATATATGATCTTGTCTAGATTCGTACATAAAATTGGTCTCATGGATCACATATACACTACATTTTCCAGGTATAACAGTGAAGTGAGTGTGTAAAGCAGATCGCATGATTCACAACTGCGATCAGATCAGAAACTTGATATTTGTTTTATTCCTATAGACCATACTACAAGAGTTTGTGTGTGTGTGTGTGTGTCTATCGTCTTCTTCCACCAGAACCAGGTTCACGTTGGCAGTTAAAGAAAAGAGCAGCGACAGGAGGTCCAAGGTTGTAGAGCTCAGCGAAGTCACGAGTGCTGAAATTTGGACGCCATCCAGGAGCATCTATGATTTGTCGTCCCACTGATTGACGAAATAACACAAAGACATAACGATGAATCCCCATCGATGGCCTTGGATTCTCGTAGCTCACGACCTCATGCCCTAGTGTATATATACATAAAAATATATTTACAGATGTATATATCATCATCAAAAGCGAGTTTTACGGTAGACAAGAAAAGGAAAGCTAAAAAAATTATATATAGTTACCGTAGCTTGGTCCCAAGGACGCTGGAATATCAGTTACTAACCTGTCCACATGGAAAAAAGTTGAGTTCTTTATACACAGTTGTTAAACGGTAAAGTTCATATCAAGATTAACAAATTGAAAATGACCTCTCATGTTTGGTTAAAATTTGCATATCAAAGCTTCATGGCATGCACGGTTAACTTGTAATATAATTCAAACAGCGCGAAGTGTAATAAACTGGGTAATTCAAACAGCGCGACCTGTAAATCGCATAAAACTTGAACTAAAAGAACAGAGATATGAAGGGAGAAAGGTAAGATATTCTATATGTATCAAGTTGACATAGAATGAAGAAAAGAAAGAAGGGGGGAGGATCACCAGTGCAAGTACTCTCTCAAACTTGGGTCACTTGGGCTAGGAGCATCAGGGTCCACCATAATCTGCATGCACACACACACAAAGTTAAAAATGAAGTTAGGTATTATTACCTTTTTATGATTAAAACGCGAGGATTAAAGAGAGGTTAGGTACTACTGAACTGTATGTGTATGAGAAATTGAAAAGCTTGTTGTATAGTGTACGTACCAGAGTGTAAAAGGTCCTGAGGTCACCCTCGCCAACTTCAACCCTTGGTGGGTTAACCACGTGGGAGGGTCTGAGTTCGCAGCCGTTAATGACCTCTCTGTTATTACCGTAAATGACTGTCATGGGCACTGACCTCGTAAAAGGGTCCAAAACATCTCCAACGACACGTCCAACGACAAGAGGATCTGTTTCCCTAGGCATGATGGTGATAATAATTCACTGGTCGACGAGTTTGAGTTATGGATGGGTATGCAGATCCAGTGCACAGGGCCTTGCCTATTTATATTTGTTTCACTGAGTTCACTTTTTACGTTCCTAATCTCTTAAACTTCCTAAGATTCTTTGGACGACGTTGACATCTTCTTCCTTGTACGACATCAGAAAATGAACGTCATTTTCTTCTGGAAGCCCTATAGCAGTAAGGATGATTATACATATGTATATGTACATCTAAGATTATATATTCTATTTGAACCCTTAGTTTTCTTTGGACTTCTATATATTACCGCACAAACATTTGATTTGGCAATTAATTAAGACCCTGGGGGCGAAGTGTATCCACAGAGGAAACGATAGGCACAGGGTAGTGTTTAAAACTTTATATGCAAACACACGTTGGCACAGAATAACCTTTTAACAAAACAACGTATGGGGGATGTCTTTTTTCAGATAATTAGAATATGCTTACAAGATAGGAGTTAATGTCATCTCCACCCTTGTTTTTGTGTGTTGTGGTTTTGCCAGTGTCCTTTTCTGTCTAATTCATTAGTTTATTCGTCTGTGCGCGTTGCCTGTTTCGTTAAAGGGATGAATTACACAGACGTTGCTATAGCGACAGTGGAATCTTGGCCCCTTTCTGTTTCGGCACTATGCATATGCTATAGCTAGCGATCCTTGGTAACTTGAAAGGTGAACTCATTTTCACAATCCAGTTATTACTCTAGCGAGTGCATTGTCACAAATCAGTAGTTTAATCTTCATGAGTCATGAAATTCAACTAATTTAAACATTTGTCGGTAACTTTATACTCCAATGGTACGAAAGCTTCTCCGTTATTAAGTAAAAAGTAACAAGGTTGATCTCATTTATAATCTTAGACTATCTACCTGCTTCTCAATTGGGCAAGAGAAAAAACTGACTCAAACATCCCCCCCCCCCCGGGGAAAAAGAATAGTTTTCCTCCTAGTAACATCAATTCGCAGCAGCAAAGGTTAGTTTTCTTGATAATATATGAAACAAACAAATGGATGAAAGCAGCAGCCATACAACTTGAAGAAAAAACTTCGGTAGAGGATATAGCCACGTACGCTATCTGTATATGTTTACACCTTTTAGTATAACTTTATTGAAATAAAGTAAAGGCATATTATTAAACATGTTTTGATGATTTTCAAATCACTTTGATCTGAGGAGTGTGTATATTATTAGAACATGAAATATGAAACTCCACGGGCATGGGGACCCTGGCCTTCAATTCCTTTCAATTTAGGAATCAAAACGTGGTGTTCTCTTACTGATAGAACCTCATCTTTAAGTGGTGGCACAGAAAGATGTTAGTTGGCATATTTAAGAAAAGCAGAGAGAATCTCACTATATGTCCTTTCTGCCAGTTTAGATCATCACATACACAAAGACGTTTCCGATCGAAACTGCACACATTTATTTCTTCAGTCGTGAGCATTTTAATTCTATTGTTACGTTACGTTTTGGGCAAATAAAACAAGTTGCAATGATATCTAATTCCCATGTTTTACGTACAAATCATTAAAGTTTCAAAACTATGAAGCTTCCTATAGCTACTACGGGACGAATTAGTTGAGTTTCTCTGTTTGTGAGGCCTTTCAATTATTAAGGGATAAGACCAATATCCCCATCTCATATCCTCAAGGCCGGCGGGGTTGAGATATTCTAAGAACAAAAAGAGAGACCGAGAATCTCACATTCTAATTCTCTTGCTACTTGCTACAATTGCTCAACTCATGCACGCAAGGACCAAATTCAGATTCTCTTCCGTCGACCCCCTCTAGTTTTCTTACGTTGTTGTGTCTACGTACGAGAAGAGACAGCTGATGTGTGTGTGTGCAGTTTAATTTGAGGTATACTTTGAATGTTATTATTATAAGACTTGAAAATGTAGGATTTAATCTTTCATCAAAACAAATATATATAGTGAAAACTCTTCTATCTTCTACATATGATTTGCTTTTGGCAACAATATGTTTAATTATTGTACTCCTCTTGTCTTTAATATAAGACCTAATTGTTGAGTTGATTTTGGTCCTAAATATAAGACTTATTTTTCATATTTATCAATTTTTCTTAAAT